AACGGATGAGAAATGGGGACAGAGCTCCCACGCTCACTACTTTGGGGCTGGCTTACTCACGCCTCAGCCAACAGGGTTGGCTCTGTTGTGTTGCTCCAGCGAGGTGCAGGGCCTGCCCTCCCAACCATTGCAGCTGATGGAGCTTAGAGACAGCTCTCCCCTCTTCTTACCTCTGGGACAGCTCCCCCATTTGCCTTAGGTGTTAGTGGGTGGAGGGAAAAGGGCGTCTCTCCCCGGCCCATGTTGCTCTATGGCAGATGAGAAGTGGGCCTGGGTCTCTCATGCCCACGTTCTCAGGGTTGGCTCACTTGTAACAAGGTCAGCTCTGCCGTGCTGTCCAGATGAGTCGCAGGGCTCCCTCTCCCGGGTGTTGTGGCTGGTGAAGGGATCAGCTCTCTTGTAAGGGGTGGGGGAGGCATCTTTCCCTTGAGTTCACCACCTCACCACAGACGAGGGAGGCTGTACCAGCTATGTCCCTCTCACATGCTCAGGGCGCTTGTCCTGTGCTGTCTACAGGGTCAACTCTACAGTGTTGAATTAGGAGCAGCAGAGCTGCGTCTGTATTTTTTAAACACTGCCTGGCCCGTTATCTGTAGCCTCTTATTGGCTAGCTCTTACATATTGTTCTAACCCATTTCTAATATTCTCTGTAGCCCACGAGGTGGCTTACCAGGGAGGATCTTAACCTGCGTCTGTCTGGAGTGGGAGAACCATGGCGACTCGACTCAGCTTCTTTCTCCCAGCATTCTCTTCTGTTTACTCCACCCACCTAAGGGTTGGCCTATCAAGGGGCCTACGCAGTTTCTTTATTATTATCTGATTCTAGCTGGAATGTCCAGAATGGTGAGGGGAGAATGGTCTCAGCCAGCCAGAGCAGGAAGCTAAGAGGCCACTCCAGCCCTAAGCATGAAGCCCAGAGTGCATGGTGGGTAAGGCTAGAAACTCTTAAATGGAGTCAGATTTTTCTTTGGGCCGCCAGCTCACAAAAAGTGGCGCAGAGACTTATGATTAATTATGAAAGTTTAGCCTATACCTTGGGCTTGTCCCACTAACTCTTATAACTTAAATTAACCCTTTTTATATTTTTTAAAAATATTTATTTATTTATTTATTTATTATGTATACAATATTCTGTCTGTATGCCTGCAGGCCAGAAGAGGGCGCCAGACCTCTTTACAGATGGTTGTGAGCCACCATGTGGTTGCTGGGAATTGAACTCAGGACCTTTGGAAGAGAAGGCAATGCTCTTAACCACTGAGCCATCTCTCCAGCCCCCCCTTTTTATATTTATATTTGTTTTGCCTTGTGGTTTTTTACCTCTCTTCCATCTTGCACCTCCTGTTTCCTCTCTGTGTTCTCCAGCATTTCTCCTGCACTTTTCCTTTTCTCTCCCCTGGAAGTCCCACCTAACCTCTTCCTGCCTAGTTATTGACCATTCAGCTCTTTATTAAACCAATCAGAAGACATCGTGGCAAAGACACATCTTCACAGTATGCAAAAAAGATTATTCCACAACACTCAAATCTGTCCCCGGTGATGTCATTCCTCCAGTAAGGATGTACCTCCCATAATCTCTTCAAACAGCACTACCAACTAGGAACCAAGTGTTCAAATACCTGAACCTATGAGGGACATTTCTCATTCAAACTACACGATATGTAACAAAATAGAGTTGACTGAATTATATAAAAGAAGAAGGAAATTGTGTCACTTGCATAAATGTGGATGGAATCGTAGGGAAAGAAAGCAGATTCAGAAAAGCAAATATTGCAAATTTTTCCCCAAATATTGAAGCTAAAATGTTTTAAGAAAAATGAGGCAGAAACAGGTATGTTTGGGAAAGGGAAGGGGAGCAGAGGGTGGGCAAAGAGAAGAGAAGGCAGCGTGCAAGTGTGAATGTGATCAAGGCATGTGTAGAAAATGTCAGGAAAACATTGCTTTACATAACCGATATATGGAAAAAGAAATGCAGAGAGACAAACTCTGTCACCTTATACTCTTTAGGTTAAAAGAAAGTGAGCATTCTAAAATGCAGATCAGCCCTGTTCTAACAGGGTAAATACCAGAGGAGTTGGTATTGCTACAGTCCAGACTCCTGCTTAGCTGGGAGCTCTGGAGGCATCCCCCAAAGGAGAGAGACAAGCCTTACACCACCACTAACATCACCGCTCATGGTGATGGTGGTATTAACTACCACCACTCGGCATGATGGGTAAATTAAGGAGTGCATGCTTCATTTCTTTGTCAGTTTACACACGCTGGAGTCATCTAGAAGACTCTGGAAAAAATTCTCCACCAGACTGGCCTGTAGCTCAGTCTATGGGGTATTTTCTTGATTACTAGACAGGCGCTTTAACCAGCTAAGCCACAGAGCCCTTTTTCTTGATTAATGACTGATATAGGAGGGTTCAGCCCACTGTGGGAGTTGCTGTCTGTTGTGGAATATTACTTTAACTATGTAAAAGTATTTTACATTTGTTTCTGATGTGTTACATTTATTTATGCTACTTTTTTAAATATGTAAAGATATGTGGCATTTGTTTTACCTTGCCTGCCTACAGCACCTGATTGGTCTAATAAAAAGATGAAGGGCCAATAGCTAGGCAATAGAGGGATACATCGGCGTTACAGGCAGAGAGAACAAATAGGAGGAAGAATCTAGGCTTGAGAGAGAAGAGAACAAGGAAGAAAGAGAGTGACACACTCAGGACCAGCCAGACATGGAGTAGGACATACAGAATGAAAGAAGGGAAAAATCCCAGAGGCAAAACATAGATGAAGAGAAGCAGGTTAAATTAAGTTACAAGAGCTGGTGGGACAAGCGTAAGATAAGGCTGAGCACGCTTAACAAATAGTAAGTTTTCGTGCCATGATTTAGGAGCGGCTTGGTGGCCCAAAAGATAGCCTGCTACAACCATTCTTGGACAAGTGGTCCCAGGTTATATTTAAAAAGTTAAGCTAAGCAAGCCATGGACAGCAAGAAAGTAAGCAGCAATCCTCCATGGCCTCTGCATCAGGTCCTGTCTCCAGTGTTCAGTCCAAGTCCCTGTTCTGGCTCCCTTCATGATGGATTATACACTTTAAGATGAAATGAATCCTTTCCTCCCTGAGTTGCTTGTGGCTGTGTTGTTTATCACAGCAAACTGTGGTCCTCTGCACCCTTTCCACCCCTCTTACATGATGCTCCCTGAACCCTGGACACAGGAGCTGTGGGTGGGTGTATCAGTTAGCGCTGGGCACACCACGGTGAGTTGTTCTCTGCATTTTGACTACTGACCTTCTGAAATGGTCACCTGCTGCTGGAAGCAGCTGAGAGAAGCCAATTTTGAGATATGAGAGTGTTTGGGTTAAGGCTTCACCCCAGCCCCTGCATCCATTTATCCAAAGAGTCTGGAATGTGGGGTGGAAGTTCCATCCCAAGCCCCCTCCCCTGGGAGTTGCCTCAGTCCAGACTCAACCCTCAAGAATGCTGGCCAAACGATGACCCCCCCCCCCTCCTCAGAGATGCTCAAGACTACTCCCACAAGGTATTTACACAGCAACCCAAAGAACAAACACATGGTTTTCCAGTCCTCCTTCCCCATATCATTTCTGGGGGGCTGGAAGACCACCCTGGAGCATTGGTATCCATTAAAGTTGGGCTTTTTCTAATTCGGTTTGATTTGGTCTGATGTGGATTACTGCGTTGGCAGAGAGGTTTATTGGGGCACAAAAACTTTTCAGGAAGAACAAAGTGAGCTGTGAGCTGTCATGGGTGAGCACTGGGAAATGTTGGGACGAACACTGAGGAGTCCTAGAAACTAATAAGTGAGGATAACTCGACTGGCTTTGAACTCACAGAGCTCTACCTGCCTCTGCCTTCCGAGTATTGGGATTAAAGGTGTGCGCCACCACTGCCTGGCTAAGGAAATAATTCTTGCTACCTCTATATGAGAGGGACACTTATGTATTAGGAAAAGCTCACAGGCTTCAGAAACCTAAGACACATAACATAATAAAGGTCCAAAAGGGTCGTGGTGTTTGACCAATGAGGAATTGAGAACGTGGCTCAAAGATTTCAGAGCCAAAAAGAGGACGGGACTAGGAGAGTGACTCAGCCAGGACAGCACTTGTCTCACAAGCTTGGGAGCCTGAGTTTGACTCCCAGAACTTGTGTGAAAAGTTGCATGTGGTGGCCTGCTCTTGCTAGGGAGGTGGCAGTGACAGCATCCTCAGGGGGCATAGGACAGCCAGGACAGCCTAGCCAGTGAGCTCCAGGCCAGTGAGAAGCACTGTCTCAAGGGAGGTGGATGGTATGGCTGAGGGTGAGGCCTGAGATCACCCTCTACCCTCCACATATGCACATGTACCTGCACATGCACAAACATGCACGCACACATACACACTCACACATATATGCACATGCACAAACGTGCATGCACACATACACACTCACACACATATATGCACATGCACCCACATGCATAAGAAAACAAAACAGGAAACAAGGAGGTGCCATAGGGATAGAGTAAGTCTGGTTTAAAAAGTACCTAAAACTTTTACTAATAAAACAAAATTCACCACTGCTATTACAGCAGCACTGTTCTCCAGGACAAAACAGACTCCAATTCTGAACAAAGATGAGGCAATAGAAAAGTTTATTATAAAAACAATTAGAAAATTAGCTGGGCTGGGCAGAAGCAATACAAGCTGGATGTATTGGGGTACAGGGTGGGGTTGGAGCAATCAGATCAATTCTCAAGGAGAGAACTGACTTCACCAAACTGGTTAGAAGGTTGACAGAGAGCTTCTAGAGGCTCACCTGACATACGGAACACTGCAGTGTTGTCTATTAAATTGCTAATTTGTGCTCATCCTGAATTAGTTGACTTATGAGATCTGCTTTGCCATCAAAGGGTAGATAGGGAACAACTTGAGTTTGTAACGAAACAAACTGACACTGAGAACTGTACGGTCATCTATTTCCGCCTAAAGATTATCTCATGCAAAGAATTGAACTTCTAGTAGAACATAGAAGACTCTTGTCGAAAAACCTGAGCAGCAGTGTATAGAAGCTGCAGGTGAAGATTATAGTTGAGAATCCAGAGGAGGACGAATGGGAACATCTTACAGTTATCTCCTGGGGGCTCCTGGGTGACTTTCTCTGAGGAAGAACACAGGGTGGCGAGCATTAATACATCTGATTTGAGTTGTACTAGAGAATTGGTCGGTTTCTTTGCTAAGTCAATTGAACATCTGCCAACTGCCAAAGGTGCCTTTTACTCCTTAGTTCTGGAGGACGGAAAGCAGAGCATTTGGACAGTGAGGGGTGGGCAGGGTTATCAGGAACAAACGCAGAAAGCAGATGAGTTCTAGTCTTACAGACCAGGTCTTAGTCATCTTGCATAAACTGACTAATAATAAAGCGAGCAACCCTCCATATTTCTAAGATCATTTCAAATAGCCCACGTTGGTTCTCCACTTCCCTCCTAGCATTTTGCTGCCTCTCTGTGTAGTAAGCCTCTGTTCTGGTGAACTCCCTCTCCATCTGAGCCTTTCTCCTCTCCCTCTCCAGCTGATCTTTCAGGTCTCTAATCTGCTCCTCATACTCATCTCTTATCCGCGCTAGCTCTCTCTCCAGCTCCTGTCTGTATTGCTCTTGCTTCTCCCAGGTTTGTTTCTGAATCTCTTTCTCGGCACTTCCATACATCTTGTTGGTAAAGCATCTTCCTCCATTTTCCATCACCATGCGCTGGACCAAGGTCAACAGCTGTGCCCTCTGATCCTCCTGTTCAGCTCCTGACGCTCTGTTGTTGAACAAACAGTAGCGATCCTCGAACATACGGATCAGCTCTTGAATGACTTCAGGAGCTGAATTTAAGTACTCACTGATATCGGTGTCTTCCAAGTCATCCTTCCTGGTGAGCAAGAGAATCATGAATCTTCTAGCCTTCTTTCCAAACATGCTTAGAATCTTCTGTGTAGCCTTATGTTCTTCCACGGTGTAACGTCCCAATGGGACCACCAGGAGTAGAACATGAGGCCCTGGGGAGGTCAGGGCAACACAGCGAGCAATCTCTTTTTGCGTGTCAACATTTGGTACCTCAGTGTCAAAAACACCAGGCGTATCCACGACAACAAGCTCTCTCCCACCCCAGGTGCTCACCCCTTTCTCACAGACCTTGGTAATGGATTTTGCACAAATGCCAGAAGGAAACACCTTTTCCCTGAGGATGCTGTTCCCTGTTGCACTCTTTCCTGCTCCCGTTTTCCCCAGTAAGACAATTCTCAGTTGGGAATTTTCCTGGACTTGGTCTCCAAGTTCTAGAACATCAAAGAAATAAAACCAAGTGTTAGACGCAGTCCCCAACAGTTAAACGCGCAGTCCCACCATCCAGTGCCTGCTCTCTTGCTTCTCTGCTTGCGGGCTTTCCCCCTGGCTGCCATCTCTGCCCTCCCAGGGTCTACAAACAACCCCTGGGTCTAAAAGGCCATCTTGAAGGACTTGACTGTTGAAATAAGAGCGGCGGGGCTGCGTCCCCAGCACCCCGGCCGCCTGCTAGCTCATGTCCAAAATAACAACACACAAATTGTATTATTTTAAAGACTGCTTGGCCCATTTCTATTAGCCTCTTCTAGGCTAATTCTCACATATTAATTTAGCCCATTTCTAATAATGTGTGTAAGCACCCCAAGGTGCGCTTACCAGGAAGATTCTAGCCTACGTCTACCCTGGGTCGGAGTTGCCTGGCGTCTCTGCTCCAGAGAGCAGAGCTGTTAGGTCTCTCCGGGAGCAGAGTAGAGTCTGACCTCACTTCCTCTTCCTCCCAGCATCCTCTTCTGTTTACTCCACCCACCTATGTTCTAACCAATTAAATGGGCCAAGCCAGTTTCTTTATTAGCCAATGACCTTCCTCCAGCACTTGACAAAGAGGTTCGGGTACCTCCCTTGATCTCTTTTCTTCACTGCTTCTTTTCAGTATTCTTTTGAGCTCTTCCTTCTGACCTTTGTGGTGTCTAAGCCCCCAGAGGAGGAAATAAAAGTTTCAGAAGAGAACTTTGAGCTGCTTCCAACAATGACCTCCACTAATGGAATCCAGCACAGAACACAAAGGATGAGTTTGGGGCATCTGCCGGGAAAAATGTCTTTTTTCTGATTTATATTTAAAAATGACTTGTTCTCCTTACAGCTGAGAGCCAAGTAGGGGTGATGTACAAGTTTTAAGATAGCTCCCCATACTGACCCAGGCCCTCNACTGTGTAACTTGGTTCTCTTGTGGGACTCCTCTAACAGTGGGAACAGGGGCTGTCTCTGACTCTTTTACAGGCTTTTGGGACCCTACTCCTCACACTGGGTCACCTTGCCCAGACTTAATACATGGGGAGTTGCTTAGTCTTACTGCAAATTGATATGCCATGTTTTGTTGATGCTCATGGGAGACCCCCCCTTTCCTGGATGGAGATGGAAGAAGAGAAGATTGGGGGTGGGCAGTGGGGAAGGACAGGAAGGGGGTGAGGACCTGGAAGATGAGGATGGGGAAGGTTGCAACTGGGATGTAAAATAAATACATGAATACAAATAAAAATAAAATAAAGACTCAGGGGAATAAAGATAATTCCCCATGTTTGGAAACCAGAATCCCATGATGAAGAAATAATACGGCTAAGAATACTGCCTGAGGCGACCTAGGAGAAGACGTGAGGGCAGCTCCCGCTAATATTCATTTAGCTGCACAGCGAGACCCCCATTGAAAAGTTCTTGTAGGCTTTGGTTCCTTGGCCATAGGAAGGAAGAATGGGAAAAGGTCCCAGTCGTGGCTCCTGTGCCCTGATTGGCCACTGTTGGTCCTGTGGAGATGAGCCATGGTTGGACTGCAATGCGTGCCCCAGTCCTTCCCATCCCTGAATCCCTCCTTTCTGGGGTGTAGATGTTCAACTCTTCCCAGTAAAATGTAGCCAGTGGGAGGACACGATGACATGCTCTGACTCTGGAGGACCGGCATCAAAAGTTCCAAGAGCCTTTAAGCACCATGGGCTGCCTGCTCCTTTGACTCCTCTGCAGCCGCCATGTGAAGACACCTGGACTAGCTTGCTGGACAGCAGCAGCCGAATGAGACCCCACCATCCTGGCCTGCCCAAGAGCTAGTTCACCACCCAAAGCTTTTGAACTACAGGTCGTGACTCCCATGTGAGGCCACAAAACTGAACATGAGAAGCAGGAGGAAAAGCTAACAACAGTAAAGGATTCTGAATACACAGCAACTAAAACTCATTTCAAGATCAAAGGTTTAGTGAACCTGTAATGTCTCTCACCGCCTTTGGTTCTGACCAAACACCACCAATACTTGGCCTCGCTCATACCATGCAGCACCAATAAACACTGCCCAGAGCATTTGGGCTCAGATTTGAGACTATTGCCACTTTGTGCTGTGTTTTAGTGAGTGGCATTCTTACAGCTGATTATTGTAAAACTAAAATACCAGCGACCCTGGAAAATGTCCGAGATGCTCTATCCTGCAGCAGCAAATATTCAGTCACACTCGCATAAGCAAAACACGCAAACCTCCTCACTAGTGTGCAACTATGCTTTTTTTGAAGTTGAAGAAAAACAACAATACATTAATTAACTTTAGATTTCTTACTTCCTTTGAACATGCCTTACACTTCTTCAGTGTTGCCAAGGACTCATTGTTAAACCCAACTTGTACATAGTCATAGTGTACAATGAATGCTTTAAAGGGTACAATACTGACCATCTCCATTGCTCACAGAACTATGTTTTGTGGTGAGAACACTTAAAATCTCTTGTCCTATCAACTATAAAATTCAGTATTAAGTATGTTCACTATGCTATGTAACATGTTTCCAGAATGTATTCATCCTCTCTAACTGAAACTCCTTACTATATGGACAGGGGAAAAAAAATAAGTTTTAATCTTTAAGAAGTGGAAAATTATACATATGTATGTATGTAATTTATTTCAAATTTTTTTATCTTTGATTTGTAACCTATTTTATGTACTCATGTACCTGAAGTCAAATAAATGTTTCTTGAAAAGCAGCAGCAGTGTGTGTGGGGGGGGAGGGGAGTTTCAGCCCTGAAGTACACACACCTGTGAGTCTGCCAACACCCTAACAGAAACCAGTAGCTTGCCAAGGTGCATCTGTGAGCTTATCGGGACTCTGATGGGACCCACTGTGTGTCATAAGTACATGAGTGACACATCTGTGAGCCTATCGGGACTCTGATGGGGAACCACTGGCTTGTCACAGGTACATGAGTGAGTACCCAACTTTAACAGGTGTGATTCAGACCCCAGGAATGCCTGACTGACTCCCAGCATCTGGAGTCAAAGAAATGAGTGATATTTGAAGGTACTACCCTGTGAGGTAGTCCGATAAAACAACAGAATCTCAACTGACATAATGAATATGGTGGGCGAGGAGCTGGGCGTGCCCAGTGACACACTGATTTATTTGATAGTTGGAAAATGAGGAACCTGGAGCAGGGACCCAGATGGGGTTCAATTGCCCCCACATTGTTCTCTCCCGATCCTCCTTTAGGAAAGGACAGAGATATCACCGGAGAAGCCACAACCAAAGAGGCCACAGGCAGCCTCTCTGCCATGTTCACATTGCAGGAAGGAGGAAGTAAGAGGCTGTGCTGAAGTCAGGTGAGGTGCTCCACTCACACCTGTCACTGGGCACTAGGGAGACAGGAGCAGGATGGCTGCCACACGCTCCCAGCTGGCCTGGCCCACAGTGTGAGAGTCTGTGTCCCAACAAACAAAAGACGGAAAAAGACAGAAGAAGGGAGGGCTATGCCAGGGTGAGGACCACTGACAGGCCCTGAGGCTTCTCCCGCTTAACAAGATGGACGTCATCCTAGGAACAGAGCAAGAGCGCGAGGAGAGTCCAGAGAAGTGGGAGAGCCGAGAAATATGAGGGCCGCGGCTGACAGGGCTTTATCCTGCTCAAGTGGGGACTGCACACCTCTGTGCCTCCCCCCTTCTTTATGCCCCATCCCCACACCCCCACACTCCCACCCCCGCAGCACTCCAGCTCCTCTCACCATAGCCGGTCCTGGGCTTTCTGGTTGTGGACCCCACACCATCGTACTGGGCTGCCATTGTCTCTTGACTCTGCAGATAAAGAAACAGACATGGCATTTTCTGAAGAACACTCGGAACCTAATCTCCTGTAGCCAGCACTGAACTTTCGGCCATAAACTCCAGACCTTCATTTCTCCTGCTCCATACCCCAGACCTCACCTCAACACTCCATTTTCAGGCTATTCTTTTTCTTACACAAACTTAAATACTTGTAGCACCTCCTTGAGCTTGTCCTGGCCTGGGGGACCTCCTCAATCGGTTGAGTGCTGTAGCGCCTTTTACAGGAGTTCCTTCAGCGTTCCAAACTTCTGCCTCTGCTTCTCATTGTGGCTTTTGCTCTTTCAAGGACATCTTTTATAAAGGCTGGCCAGGATAGAAGCCCTGACTACTCCCCACCTCCGGGATGGCTCCTTGGTGAATGACGTCACCATACAGCCAATGGCTCTTGCTGGACTATGCGCTCCATTACAGCCTCTGCTTCCTGCCATGCATCAGCCCATCCCAAATCCTATTGACGCTCCTTTTATAAATCTCATTTGTCTCTTTGTCTCTACCTTCAGGCGGATCAAATCTACTGCCGCTTGTCTTCAGGGTAACAGGCAGTGGTCAGACGCCCTAGCGAGAAGACGCCTGCTGCACTCCTGAAGCCTGGCAGTCTGTCTTCACGCCACGCATTTCCCACAGCAGAACAGTGGCAACGCGGTGTCAACTGCTTTATTAGGTCCACAGTCACTCAGCATCAAAGAGATACACTGTCTAGACCCCAATCTCCCCTCATAACTATGTTGTCCTGTCTGGATGGAGAATTAACATCTTGTCTTGTGAAAACAGGAAATAAGCAGAAAAGAAGCTCAAACCACTCCAAGTTCTAGTACCCCATAACTAATCACTTCAGCGCTTTGCTGTAACTGGACTTCTTTTTTATGATTGTGTGCAGATAATTTCTTTTTATAAAAAAGAGACAGTATCACTTACTTTATTGTCTATTATTAAGATTCAGTGTTCTGCCAGGCAGTGGTGGTGCACACCTTTAGTCCCAGCACTCAAGAGGCAGAGGCAGGCAGATCTCTGTGGGTTCAAGGCCAGCCTGGTCTATAGAACAAGTTCCAGGACAGACAGGGCTACACAGAGAAACCTTGTCTCAAAAAACAAACAAACAAAAAGACCATTTTAACTTTGCGTTTTACCTTTCACTTTGTCAATGCTTTGAGCACCCTATTCTAGCAGCGCATGGAGCTGAGGAAGAAGGTGGCTGAGGGTCTAAGAGCGCTTGCTGCTTTTACAAAGAGCCAGGGTTCAGTTTCCAGACCCACATGGCACTCAAAACTGTCTTTAAGTCCAGTTTCAGATGATCTGATGCCTCCTTCTGGCTCCTGGAGAACCAGACCTGCACACGGTACACATATGCATACATGTACACATACATATTATACATGAAATCAAAACACTTATACACATAAAGTAAAAATATTTTAAGGGAAAAATAGATTTGAATTTTACTTTTCTTGCTTGAATTCCCTAGTGACTTTTGTTCATCTTTAGAAGGTGGTTTGGGCTATCAAAATGACCCAGAGGTCCCGGCGTGATCATCCCTCTCTGAAGACACTGACCTCCCTGTGCGCCAGGGTCCTCTCATCTCCTAGGCTTTGTGGGAACCCCCCTTCCTGGGGCACTGCTCCAGCCCACTGCTTCCTGAGGGGCCCTGTCTAACCCCTCTCCTGCAGCAGCACCAGCCCGAGCTGCCAGCTCCCGAAGTCGCCTGTGCTCACTGCTCAGCAGTGTTTCTCCGTCAGGTCATGGTGGGAGCATGAGATGGTTCTCTGACATCTGCTGTCTCCTCTCGGGCTATGTGACTGGAAACTTCCTGGGTACAGGCACAACACTGGACAAAGGACGGTCTTGGTTCTTTACCTTCCTCTGTCGGGTGGTGGCCTGTGTGTGCAGCAGTCCCTTCCTCATTAACCAATACACAGACCTGCAGAAACACCCAGCTCGTTTTGCATGCTTCTTCTACCTACTACCATGAACATTGTTGAGAACTCTGGAGCCGACTGTGTCCAGGACAGGCTGGAATGTTTTCTGTTAAGGAGAGAGTCTCCACACAGAGAGCCACAAATTACAGATGTGAAACAAATGCTTTTCTTTTCTTTTCTTTTTTTTTTTTTTTTGAAAGAGGCTCATTTCTTTATGTCTGAAGAGGTGGATAGAAGACAGCCTCTCATAAACTAGAAAGGGAAAACACTCAGCTCTTAATGGAGCTGGTACTGGTGATTAATAAGGGGAGCCAGAGGCAGCGATGGAAAATTTCTCAAGACTTTCTGGTAAGGGGAGGGGGAATATTTAGACCCAGTTCATATGTAAAACCAGGACCTGTGTTTCGGTAGGTACTGATTTCATTGACTAAGTTCCCCTCCCTCGGGCTCTGAGCAAACATCCTCTACTGGCTTCAGAACTGTGGCCCCAATGAGTGTAACTTAGACCTCCCTGGAGGGAGCTCAAGTCTTCCGTGAACCCAGGAAAGAATGGTTCCCCAAGGAAGCAGCTTGAAGGAAAAAGATAACAGCTAGTGAGGACCCTGACCTGTGTGCCAGCTTGAGGGGGACACTCGCCAAGCTGTGCCTGTTAGGGATCCCCCACCCCTACCTTTTCTTCTCCTGCTCCCACCAAGCTGATTCTCTTCCTGGAAGAGCCAAGTTAAGATTGTTTCTGATCAGTGAAGGAACACTTTCTCCATAAAGTACCCTTGCAGCAGTGGACCCTGAAGCATACATGAATTTGTAGGACTTAGCCTTCAGAAGGATTACAGCCTAAAATTAGCAGGCAGGAAACAGGGACCAATAAGCACAATTTCCAAGAGCAGGTCTGCCGGGGGTTTTACTAGACACAGCCAACAGAGCAGCCCCCTCCTCACCAAGTTCAACACTCCCGCACTGCACCCCGATTCTTACCTGGAAAGGTCCTGTGGCCTTCTCTGATTTTACAGCCGTGCTGAACCCAGAAGAGAGAGCCACAGAGGAAGTGTAGGGGAGGAAGTGTGGAGACAGGAGCAAACAGGGACCCACCCATCTACCCAGCGGCACTACAGAGCTCTACAGTCCGGCGTTCCGTGCCATCTAACAAGGCACCCAGGGCCGCTGGTAGCTACTGGACGCTCGCGATAGGAGAAATCAAATGAGAAATAAAGCATTTCAGTGGCTTGGCTGACAGTGACACTGACTCTCCTGTGTGCTTACCTCTTTACAAATTAGCGGGAGGGAGGGGCTCCCTGCCACTAGCAAATAGTAGAATCTACTTTTAATTGGGGTGTTTAGATATTTTATACTTCAGATAATTCACTGTGCGACTGGATTTCAGCGGGACCTCTATACCATACCTCCTCCCCTCCAGGCCCAGGGAGCACTTCAGAAAAGGGGTTGGAAAGACTGGAGGCAGCCGGTGTCTGCAGGAAACAGTACTTGCTCGGTATGACAAGGCCATTTCACTGCGGGGAGAGGGGACATGACGCTGGGAAGGAAAGGAGAAGCCAAGAGAAGGAATTAGAGGGGGGACTGGGGTGGAATTGATCAAAACACATAAAGTAAATTTATAAAGTTCTCTAACGATAAAACTGATCAACCTGCTACCAGCCTCTCTCTGTCTGATCTGCTCTTTCTCTCCCTTTCTCTACTATTCTGCCTACTTCGTGGCTGATTCTAGGGTGACTTCGCTTTTATCCCTTCTTATTCAGGACAGCCCTTGTTGGGCGGGTGCTTCAGGGTCCATGCAAACCCTCTTCGACTTGGACTAGTCTCCTTTCAAATTCTGTGCAGCCCTCCCGCACGTGTAGCAGAAGAGCCTGGCGTCTCCACACTACTGTTATGTACTTGACAGCTGCATGTTTTATAACCCAAGTGACCGCCAGCCCTGGGTAGTTATTCAGACAGAGATCAGCAGGGAGAACTTAGATTCCGGATCCTAACACAAAGAACAGGAGCGCTGGGGAGGGGAGTAGTGGGTAAGATTATCCAAATTTCCCACCTCCAGGAAAACCTATTTATTCCGTGACTCTGATTCCCCAGGTTTACCAGTGAAATCTGGTAACTTGGCACAGAATCACCAAGCAAGCAGGTGGTGCTGAGATAGGACCTGACCAAGTCCCTTCTTCACCGCAGGCCTTCTAAACCTACCTCTCACTTTTCCACGTCCTGCACTGTGCACTAAAGGGCCCGTGAATGTGTAGCCTTCAGTAACCAGGATGCTGGGAGCCAAAAAGTCCCCATACGAAACTGACTCTTTCTCCAATCTGTGGACTCCCTTCTCCTACTTATACAAATCTCCAGTCCACCTCATTAGTTTTGTGGCAAAGAGCCCAGAGGGTGGTTTTTCATTGCAATTCTCCAGAATCTGTGAACTCTGAACTCTACAGCTGATGCCAACCCATTTCTCAGAACCCTCTGAGAGTAAGACAGTTGGTGTTAAATGTATCTGTGCCCTTGCAACGCTTCCTGCCTGCATCAGCTGCAGACATTTCCTGTCCCATCGCCTTCACCTGTCATCTTACTCATCACTTGAGTTGTGGCCATTTCACGGGGGAGAAAGATGAGGATGGAGAGACCATGCATCCTGCCAGTAACATGAGGTGGTACCCCAAACAGGCTGTGCGGAGAGGTTGAGAGAGGGAGAAACATCGTGGGGAGACCTCAGCACACTAAACTGTGCTCAGTGATCTCCCTGAGTGTCACTTTTGACCAGCATTGGCCCACAACAGTGTAGAAGGAGCAGCGGGCTGCGTTCCTGCCCAGCTCCTGCATGGCTAGCTTTACCCGAAATAATTACATGGAATCTGTATTCTTTTAAACACTGCTTGGCCCATTAGTTTCAGCCTCTTATTGGCTAATTCTCACATCTTGATTAACCCATTTCTAATAATCTGTGTAGCACCATGAGGTGGTGGTTTACCAGGAAAGATCTTAACCTGCATCCATCTCGGAGAGGGGAGCTATGGCATCTGCCTAACTTCCCTTCTTCCCAGCATTCTGTTCTGTTTACTCCGCCTACCTAATTTTCTGTCCTATCAAAGGGCCAAGGCAGTTTCTTTATTAACCAATGAAAGTAACACATAGACAGATGACCCTCCACCATCACAACAGAGCTTTCCTCTGCCTTCCACCCAAAGAAGGGACCTAGCTATGGCCACTCACAGCTCAGTCTTGAGTGGGTGTATTGTGATAGGAGTTTTAAAAGCCTAAATTACTAATAAAACACTAACAAATTCATTATAAACATTACCAAAATTGCCCCGAAGAGTTGGACCAGTAGTTACAAGCACTTACTGCTTTTCCTGCGGACCAGGGCTGGATTCCCAGCACTCATGTAGTGACTTAGAACCATCTGTAACTCCATTTCCAGGGGATCTGTCCCCTCTTCCAGTCTCTGTGGGTTCCATTTACACACATACATACAGGCAAACACCCATCCATATAAAATTTTTAATGAAGTTCACAGCTGGGAAACTCCATTGATGCCATGACTCCCCTAACAGATTCTGGAACTGGTGAGGGTGAGGAGCATAGTCTCCAGTTTTGTACCCACTGCTGAATGTTCCAGCCTCTAATGTATTGTCTCAACTTCATGGTCACATGAACAGTCTGAGTTCAATTCTGTGAGACATAAAGCAAAACAAAGTGTTGTAAATTTGAGGGGGAAAATTTGTAGGGAACAAGAGGGAATGGGAAGAAGTTGGAGGGAAACCAGAGGAGCAGAATTCATTAATAAAAACAAAAAAATCAAAATAATTTTTATTATTAGTTATGTTGAACCCACAGCTATTTAAAATACCCTTGAGAATACAGAATGGCCATGAGTGGGTCTGTGTAACCACGTGAAAGTATTTTATGCATTTTGTTCTGCTCTGTTCTATTTACATTTAACAACGGATCAGAGATTTCAAAGTCAAGATAGGTTGGCTTATGGAAAGTCAGTCACACCATAATGCTGTGGTCTAGCACCTAGCCCACGGCAGTGTTGTTATACACCATGGGCAGCCTCACATCTAACACGCTTACTAAAGGGATCACAGGGCTACCAACGGTATACAAGTAAAAGCGCTAGCAGCGATGAGATACTTGACAAATACCTGGAAGAGGGGAAGGTGAGAGCTCACTGGACAGAGCGCGGATAACCCGCACAAGCCCAGAAAGTCTAGAGGTGGCTAGCGACAGACTGAAGCACAAAACGCAGCTCAAGTTCAGAAACAATAGCTATAAAGAACCAGGCTGCTAGAAGATGAAGTTGGGGTTGGCGGAAACAGTGGGACCTATCGTCTCCTCCCTCCCCCTAGTTCAGAGAACTGCACTTCTTCTCCCAGGAAGATGGTGAGAAGGTTTTCAAAAGATGAGAACTTCTCACAGAAGCCTAGGACATCCCAGCACGTAAGGGTTCCTTCCACAGCCATCTGTGCCTGCTCTGCCACCTGTAGCGGGACTCTGAGGCCCACTGCAGAGCTGCCAGACAGCTTTCCTAGTGACTTAATCCTGTGCATGTGTAAGCGTGTGAGCATGTGCACGTGTGTGTGCGTGTGCAAGCTTGTGTGTGTGTGCGAGTGCGTACGTGTTTGTTCAGGAAATAGACGCTGCCATCAGGAGCTCACAGCAGATATGGACCTGGGTAGGGGAGGAGCTCATAAGAACCTGTCCACCCTGCTGATGGATTCTGGAAGAGGAAGAGTCATTGTCTTCCATTGTGTTCCTCCTGATCAGCCCACCAGGCTCTGATAGATTGTTTGAAACCTGTTATCACCCACACGAAACTAGTTAAACTCAGTGGATCACAAAGCAAAAAACATACCAAAACAAAAAGACATGAATTCAATCCGAACACATTATATGCATGTATGTATGAAATTGTCAAAGAACAAATGTCATTAATATAAAAGAATGACATTTACATCACGAACTCAACTTGTCCCAAATAATTGAAAGCAGTCCACATATCTTCTTGAAAATATACCCAAATATATTCTCTTCAGCCTTTTCCTTCAGATTTTCCATTTTCTCATCATAATTTCTCTTTGCAGAACCAATACTGTCTTTTCTTTTTCTGATTTATGAGCACATTCCCTTTCTATTCTTTTGATTTCAGCATTGAGTTCCTGAGCATAAGTTTCCTCCAGTTCCCTTAAACATTGTCTCAGCCTTCTGTCTATGTCCTCGTATATCTTTTCAGAGAAGTAAGAGCCCCCGTTCCTGTCCACCATTTGCTCTATCAGTTCTACCAGCGGCTCTACTTGATCTTCTCGCTTCGCCTCTACTGCTTTGTTATTAAAGGCCAGGTAGCGTTTCCCACACTGCGCATGACATTATTTAGCTTGTCATTTGGCTCACCTAATAAGTCATCCAGGCTCTGGTCCTCAAGGTCATCTTTGTGAGTAAACAAGACAATCATGTGCTTCATGGCTGCCTCCCCAAAAAGACTCCTGATCAGGGAGACAGTTTTCTGCTCTTCCTCCGTGAAGCGGCCCAGCTGCAGAACCAGGATGATGGCATGAGGCCCAGGGCAGGAGTAGAGGACACAGCAGCTGATTTCTGTACATGTGGCTTGCATGGTCTTCTTGGTGTCAAAGAGCCCAGGGGTGTCAACTACAACAAGGTT